TTAGTTACTAATACTAAAAGTTTCAGTTTTTTAGTATTAGTTACTAATACTAAAATTTTAGTAACTAATTTACAACCCTGGATACAAGGGATTCAAGGCACATGTAGGGTGCATATTATATTCCTTGATGAAGCTCATCATCATCTTTGTCCCCCGCTGGCTGATTATGCAAGTACTCACCTCATCGTCATCTTATTCTTCCTCTTCTACCAGGTACCTTACTTAACCTTACAGTTACAGTTACAGGCTAGTTCAGTTGTTGGATTAAACATACCTCTGTACACATGCACTCACCCCCCCTATTTTTTTTTTTTTTTTTTTTTTTCACTCTTTGCCCATCGTTGCCCTTTTTCTCCCAGATATTTTGTCCTCTCCGGACCCTCCAGCCGAGCGGGTCGCGTCGAAATTGTTTCCTCGACGCTAAAACCGTGGCTAACATCCATTGGAACAATTCAATTTGCTGCGCTATCCCAATCGCCTCCCTACTAGCGCCAGTCGCGCGCAACTTGCACCGCTTCAACCCTCGCACCGCAGCCTCATCGTTGGTGATCCAGGGCTTTTCTCTCGCCTCTTGTCTTTTCGCCTCGCTGGGACCGGCAGATTGAAGCCCCCCAAATACTGAACGATGCTGCTAAGCTTCAGCAACAAGCACATTGTGCACTCGCTGCTCGCCGCGTCGCTCGTCTTCGTCTCGTTGCTCATCTACGTCTGGAACGTCCACCTGGTCCCTGGCGATGCCTTGCGCTCCCACAGAGACCATGACCGGGACGACATGTGCCCCAGGGGCTCGCGGCGGCACGGAAACTCGACGTACTGCGTGCCCAAGGAAATTGGCGGCATCAAGTGGAAGCGACCGGCCGACGCCAGCAAGATCATGGGCCTGATTTTCTACGGCCGCCGGTCCACCGTGTCCATTCTCGACTGCTATCTCAAGGTACGGTGGTCAATGGGGTGTGTGTGTGTGTGTGTTTGCGTGTGCGTCTGGCGGTGCTAATCGATGGAAACTGCAGCGCAATTTGGTCAAGAATGGAGGCATCCTCGACGGCGTCATCTTCCTCCAGCGAACAACCGACGAAGACGATCTCAAGTTCCTCGACAAACTCCTCAAAAGCGAGCCCGACTACATCAAATGGGTCATTGACATGACCGAGGACGGCTTTGCCTCGTCATACGACCGGATACAAGACGACGTTATGTATATCAAGATGGACGATGATATCGTATGAACCCAAAACCAAAAGATTTTGCACAGTGTGTTGGAACTGCTGAGCTGACATGTGTTTGCTAGGTCTATATCGAAGATTCTGCCATTCCCTCCATCGTCACGACCCGAGCCGAGCATCCCGAATTCTTTGTCGTTTCCTCCAACGTCATCAACCAGCCTCTCATCAGCTGGATACACTGGAATCTCGGCGCCGTCAGGGCCTACCTACCCGAGTTGAACAAGGCCTATCCCGCTCCCCAGCCCGGGAGCAAGCTGAATTGGCGCCCCTCGCTGCTCCCTTCCTGGCAAGGGGCCGACGACTTCCAAGTCAGCGAGTGGAACCCCCCGGACCACCAGAAGCACCGGTGGCTGCCCGTCAAAGGCCACAGCGACCACATTCTCGACCGCACGCCCATTGTGGAGACAGAGTACGACCCGTTTGGTCCTGGTTGGAAGAAGTGGCAGGTCGCCGCCCAGGAGCACTACAGCTTGTTTGAGAACATCGAGAACAATAATCTGCGCCAATACCGCTTCGGAACGTGGGACTTTCAGCTGAAGCGCATGGGTATTCAGTTTACCTGTATGATGGGCAAGGACATCAATCTGGCCAAGCCCATTGCGGCCGACGACGAGCATCACTTTGCCGTCACTATGCCCGAGCAGACTGGTAGACGTATGCCTCTCCTCCCCTTGAAACAGCACTGTTTTTAGACACGATAGCTAACATGTCCGCCCGCAGATGCTGTTGCTGATGGTGGCGGCGTTGTGGCCCATTTCAGCTTCGGTGCCCAAGCTGGCGACGAGAGAATTGAGCAAACCGATGTTCTTGACCGCTACCGGGTCTACGCCGAAGAAAACATCTGCAAGGGACCCTTACTCTGGGACCCTGTCTTAGATAACCACAACATCCCTTGACCTGGGATCTCCGCTGTTCTTCTTCAACGACAAGTGTATTATGTACATCCTCTTCTAACATTTCGAAGCGATGCTTGTTTTTTCTTCTGGCGAATACGGAGTTGGGCTTTGTGACATTGGTTTATTTCTAGACGGTTTTGGAACACCAAAAAGTTGTAAAGGGGAGAAACCTTGGAGTTGAATGAGAGGACAAATGTTACACCGGGGGGAGAGCGAGCGAATTTGGTGGTTCTTTGTGATTTCTTTGGGCAAATTATGTAATACCCTTGTAACTGTAAGGCTCAAGCAAGGCACGTTAATAGTATTGAGAATGCCGACACGGGAATATAATGAACTCGGCCACATGCCGTCTTGTAGACACGGGCTGACCTGGATAGATGTTTTTACATGGTGTCGGTTTGCGCATTTTTACAGAAGGGGGACGAGGGAGGCCTGTAAAATCGAGAATATGAATGACAGGTGCCATGCCCCTTGTTGTCTTTCAAGAAGCTTGAGTTAGCAACATTGCTCAGATCACTATGATTCACTATAGATCGATGTGGCATAATTGACTACCTATCTTCCTACTTCCCAGTCACATCACCCTTAACTCTCACGTCTCCTAATTGCACTCTCGTAGCCCTTCATATCCACTCACCTTGTTACAAGTGGGATGCCCGCTAAGGCGTCCATAGGGGTGAGCAAAGCTGCTGCGTTTGATCGGGGTCATCCAGCTAGATCAAGGTCATCCTGTTCGATCCGTTCGATCAAGGTTATCGCGTTTGATCAGGGTCATCCAGCTAGATCAAGGGCACCTAGATACCTAGTAGGTAGATCGCGGTCATCCCGTTTAATCAAGGCCTTCCGGATCAATCAAGGCCTTCCGGATCAATCAAGGCCTTCCGGATTAATCAAGGCTATCGCTACTACCTATCTTAATAGAAGGGGAATTTTATACGTACCCTCCGGGGGCGCCTGCCGCGGGCTTTGCCTACGGCGCTACTTTACCTACGGCGCTATGCCTATAGTAGCACTAGATATATTACTATTGAGTATATATAAATAGCTATATTTTACTACTTTTATTTAATCTATAGATTGTTATATTATAATATTATTTAAATATATTATAAGTAAAACTATAACTTAGTATTATAAATTTAAGCTATACTTAAATTAATATTTACTTAATTTTAGGTTAAATTTAAACTAAACTTAAATTAATAATAACCTTAATTCCTAAGGCTTTTAATAAGGGTTTAACTTAAACCTAAAATAATCTTAAAGAATAATTAATTAAGTATTTATTAAAGTATAACTTATATATACTTAATATATTTTTTTTTTCTTAAGAATAATAATTTTATTTATTTAAATACTTATTTATAGTTATTATAAGGCTAGTTTATTATAATTATTATTTTTTATTATAAATAATAAATTAATTATTAAATTTAACTTTTATTAAAAAAATAAAAAGTAATAATATTATAAATATTAAGTATATTATAATTATTATTATTAATTATTACTTTTCTAAGTAACTGCCTAAATAATTAATAATAGTGTAAAAGTTATATTTATTATTAAAAAGTTTAGTAAAGCTATAATAATTAAATTAAAGGAAAGTTATATTTTAGCCTTTAGTTTAAAATCTAGAATTAATATATAACTTAACTTAATTAATTATAATTAATTAAGTTAAATTTTAAAAATTTAGGCTATAAAGTATAATTAATTAAAGTTTAAAACTAAATTTAAAATATATAAAAAAGCTTAAATAATAAAATTTAAGTATAATATAAGCTTTAAGTTTATAATTTATAATTTAATAACTTAATTAAATTAAATAAGTTAATTATTTTATTAAATTATAAAAAGTAGTAATAATTTTACTTAAAAATAAATTATATATATAATACTTTTAAAATTAAAAAACTACTTAATAAAATAATATACTTTATATAAAAGTAATAAACTTTTATAATAATTATAAAATAAGTTAATAATTAATTAAAGTTTATTATAAATAACTATAAAGGTTATATTTATTATTAAGAGGTTTAATAAAGCTATAATAACTAAGTTAAAGAAAAGCTATGCCTTAGCCTTTAGTTTAAAATTTAAAATTAATTTATAATTTAACTTAATTAATTATAATTAACTAAGTTAAACTTGAAAAATTTAGGCTATAAAGTATAATTAATTAAGGTTTAAAATTAAACTTAAATATATATATATATATATAAAGGCCTAAATAATAAGGTTTAAGTATAATATAACTAGCTTTAAGCTTATAACTTATAGTTTAATAACTTAATTAAACTAAATAAGCTTATTTTATTAGGTTATAAAAGGTAGTAATAATCCTTAAAAATAAATTATATATATAATATAAAAAACTACTTAATAAAACTATATACTTACTTATTAAAAAAGATAATTATTATAAAAGCTCCTAAGTAATAATTATAACCTAACTTTAACTTAGAATATATAGTAAAATAGCTAAGTAAATAGCTAAATTTATAATTAATAAAATTATAAACTTATAATTAAAAACTTTAAAAAAAAAAAAACTAAAGCTAAGTAAAGTAAAATATAAATTAAACTAGCTAAAAGGTATTAAGAACCTTAAGCTAGGCAAAGGGATTAAGAAAATTATTAAAAAAGCTAATAAAGTAGTTATATATAAAGGCTTTTTTATAATTAGTTTTTTTTAAGTAATTTATTCTTTATATTTAGGAGAGGTAATAGATTTTATAATTAATTTTTAATAATTTACTTAATTATATTTATATATTAATTTAGCTTTAAGGGAATTATTATTTAAGCTTTATTTATTTATAATAAAAAATAAATATTTAAAATACTTAAGGGAGAAGTAATAAATATATTAAGCTAATATAATAAAAATAATATTTATTTAAGTATTATAAAATATATAAATACTTAAATAAAATAAATTTTTAGTTTTTTTAATAATATTTTTTATAATAAAAAACTAAAAAATAAAAAGTTATTATAGTAATAATTATTTATAAAACTTTTATATAAAGTAAAATAATTAAATATATAATAAAAGTTTAAATAATTAGTAAATATATTTTTAAAATAAATAAGGCTAAAATAAATAATAATTATATTTTTATAATAAACTAAGCTAAAAAGTTTAAATAAGTATAAATTATAATTAAAATTAATATTATTTATAAAAAACTTATAATATAAAAAGCTAAGTTTAAAAAAATAAAAATTTTTAAAATAAAAATTAAAATAAAAATTATTATTTAAATAAATATGAATAATATTATTAATAATTTAAATATATTAATAATATTAATATTATTAAATATATAAATAATAAATATATAAATATTAATAAACTAAAGTTTAAAAAAGTAAAAAGTAATTTAAAAATATAAGGCTATTATATAATAAAGAAATTTAAGTAAATTAATAATAAAAAGTATATAAAAAATAATAAAACTATTACTTATTATATTAATAAACTCTATAAGTAGCTAAATATTTAAAAAAGTATAAAGGCTAAAGTAACTTTATTATTTAAAATATAATAAATAATAAAACCTAAAATAAGTTATTAAATAAGTAAATTATATTTATTAAAAATATAATAAGAAATTCAATTTATAATTTATATTAATAAAATATATAATTTTAAATATATATAAATATTAATAAAAAATAGTTAATTAATTAATTAATAATTTTATTTTTTAACTAAGATAAGTTATTAAGGTATAAGTAAGGCTAGGAATATTAAGCTTAATAAAATATATATATATAAAAATTAATTTATAATTTATAATTAATAAACTAAAAATAACTAAAGGGTTAGATTTTTATTACTTAAATATTATAATTAATAAAAAATAATTATATAAATATTTAAAAAAATATAATTTACTTTATAGTAAAATAACTTAATATTATATATAATATAAATAGCTTAATAAAAATAACTTAAAAAGCTAGTTTTAATTTTTATATAATTATAATAAAAAATAATATATTAGTAAAATTATATTTTTAAGTAAAAGTATAACTTAAGAAAAACCTTAAATTAAATATATTACTTAAAATAAACTTTATATATTAGTATAATATTAACTTAATAATAGCTAATTAATATATAATAATTAAATTAGTATATAATACTAAAATTTTAATATAAATTATATAAAAAAATATATAAGTTAATTAATAAGTAATAATAATAAAAACTACTAACTAGATTACTATAGTAATAATATATAAGGTAAATATAGCTAAAGTATTATAAAAGTAGGTAAAATAAAGTAATATAATTACTAAATATATAATAACTAGTAAACTTAATATTAAACTTAGAATAGTTAATAGGATTATTATTTACTTAGATTTTCTAAAGTAAAAAAACCCTATAGAGTAATTAAAATAAGTTATAATACTTTATTTTCTTATAAGCTTTATAATATCTTAATAAAAAATATAAATATAATAAAAAACTTAACTTAATTATATAGAAGATAAATAATACTATATAAATAATAGTAATACTTTTAAGAGCTATTACTAAAGAGATAAAATTTATTAGTTAATTAATTAATAATTATAGGCAGGTATTATTAAGAGTATTTTTAGTTACTTAATTAGTTTTATTATAAAGTTAGTGAAGTTTTTTATATAGATTTATCTAGTATTAATTTATATTATAGTATATAGGTAAGTATTTAAATTAATACTTTTTATTAAATATAGGTTATTTTATATATATATAAGTAAATTAACTATTTAGATATTTTAAAGTATAGTGTAGTAAATAATTCTAATAAATAGATTTTTTAATAGCTACTGTGAATTTTTATATAATTAGTAGAGTAGTAATATAATATAAATATTTACGCCTGTTAATTTTATATTATTTATTCTTAATTTAGCTTTATGTTATAATAATATATTTATATTATAGTAAGTTTACTATTAGTTAATAACCTTAAAGTATATTTTAATTAGTT